GCTGAAGACTACAGCTACAGCTATGGCGCCCAGCGCCGAAGACTACAGCTAGCGCTAATACCTACTGCCTAGCGCTGAAGACTAATGCAGCGCTCCTCCTGAGTGCTGCGGCCGAAATCCTGAAGACTACCCGTGCCTACTGACACTACCTACCCGTGAAGTGCATGGGAACTTCCTATGTACTACGGGTGTGCCTCCTGAGCCTGCCGAAGGGAGGCAGGGGCTGCAGCTGCAGCTCCTGCTCAAACTCGTGAGGAACAGGCTATTTCTGGCCTGTGCCTGAGTCTTAGGGGCAGGTCGAAACAATGAGGGCCTGAAAATGGCCCTCCGTTTCAGGCTGAAAACTCTGAGCCTGCAAGGACTTACTATGTGTCCCACGCGATCGTCGTCTTCGGACTCACCTCCTCAGCGAGTATCATGATTCACGACTCGCCGGCCATTTCGGAGTCAACCGCACTATTGCACGACTTCGACAGCGATTCCGATGGCCCGACCTCATTACCGATGTCAATCGGTATTGCGACTCTTGCAAAGTTTGCCGACGCGGCAAGCCCCACAACCGCAATCCCTACGGCGAGTTACACCCGATGCCTATCCCACGGGAACCCGGTCTCTCCATTGCCATGGACGTCATTGGTCCGTTTCCTCGCGACCGGCTCGGGCACGACGACCTTTTGCATATTTGCGCGGGCTTGAGTCAGCAATTCCCTGTACTTCCGGACGGAAGCGGGAGAGCAGGCAGCGTCAATGTCGGCTGGTCGAGGGAGGAGAAAGTTGGCGAAAATCCGGCCTTTCCGTCCACCGTGGTGCAACTCGAATGGAGTCACGCCGATCGCCGGATGCACCGAAGTGTTGTAGGCGAACTCGATGTCGGGGAGGCGGTCAACCCAATCTTTCTGGTCCGGACGGATGAGCGTACGAAGGATCATTTGAGCGATTTGATGTGCCCGCTCCGTCTGCCCGTTTGTCTGAGGATGTCGAGCCGAACTTGGTTTCATTGTTGTGTCGGACTCCTGCATGAGAGCAGTCCAAAACGCCGACATGAAACGAGTGTCGCGGTCGCTGACAATGTCTTCACAGGTACACCGTGGCGACAAATCCAACCACTGTGCAGGAGGTGTGCCAGCTCGGGAGCCGTGGAGTAGTACTTGCAAGGGAGAAAACGCGCGTACTTACTCAATCATCCACCACCGTGACGATGCCGTCGTGCCCGAGCCGGTCGCGAGGAAACGGACCGGTGACGTCCATGGCAATGGAGAGACCGGGTTCCCGTGGGATAGGCATCGGGTGTAACTTGCCGTAGGGATTGCGGTTGCGGGGCTTGCTGCGTCGGCAAACTTCGCAAGAGTTGAAATACCGAGTGACATCGGTAATGAGGTCGGGTCATCAGAATCGCTCTCGAAGTCGTGCAATAGTGCAGTTGACTCCGAAATGGCCGGCGAGTCGTGATTCATGATACTCGCCGAGGAGGCGAGTCCAAAGACGACGATCGCCTGGGACACATAGTAAGTCCTTGCCTCTCGAGTGGAGGAGCTAGTACCCGTCGACAATGCGAAAATGGCCGGTCGGCGGGTGATCCGAAGATAGTTGTGCATAGAGCGTGCCGAAGTCCGGATCAGACTGATATGTCCGGATGAAGTGTCGTTGAAGCTCCTCGTCGAATGCGAATGATGTGACATAGCGCAAAGATCAGGTCTTCGCGATAGTGCATCTGCTGCGCGATTTGAGAGGTCGGGGACATGTTTCGGTGTGAAGTCAAATTGGTCGATGAAGTACATCCATCGTCCGATCGTGCTGCTCACCGTGTCCTGCGTCTTGTAGTAGGTCAATGGATTGTTGTCTGTGACCCATGTGAACCTACGACGCCCAAGGAGGAAGTGCCGCCAGCGCTTGAGAGCCATCACGAATGCGAGCAGCTCCTTCGTCCTTGCATCATCAAGCGAGTTGATGGGAGGCACTTTGTGGTTGAAATACTCCACAGGGTGCCAGTCGTCGCCGTCGTGCTGTTCCAAGACTACCCCAATGCCATAGCCGGAAGCGTTCGTAATCACTCGCGTTGGCAGGGTGGGGTCATAGATGCTAAGGACGGGTGCCATGAGCATAGCTGTCTTAAGTGCTTGGAATGAGCGGCGTGCGTCGTCATCGAATACGAATGGCACCTTTGGCGACTGTAACCTCGTCATAGGTGCAGCAATCCTAGAGTATCCGGTGATGAATCGCTGATAGTAGCCCGCCAACCCCATGAATGAACGAACGTCCGTGGTGTTGGTGGGCTCGGGCCATACTCGTAGGGCCTCGATCTTGTCTGCAAGCGGACGGATGCCTTGCGGCGTCACATAGTGTCCCAAGTACTCCAGCTCCTGCTGTGCGAACTCGCACTTGTCGTAGCCGCTCCAAAACGGTGCGCACGTGTTCCACATGCGCGTCCAGACTACGGCAGTAAACCAGAATGTCGTCGAGGTAGATAAGTACGAAACGATCCAGCATGTGTCAGAACTCCGTCGTCATAGTCGCTTGGAAAGTGGTTGGGGCATTCGTAAGGCCAAATGGCATGACCAGCCATTCGAAATGCCCATACCGTGTCTTGAACGCGGTCTTGTAGCGATCCTCCTTGCGAATCTCGAGTTGGTGGTACCCTGACTTAAGATCCAGCTTGGAGAAGAACTGGGCGCCGCCCAATCGCTCGAGAAGGTCATCGATGCGTGGAAGAGGGTCGGCGTTCCTGATCGTCTGCGCGTTGAACTTGCGATAATCGATGCACAACCGCAGGTCCTTGTTCTTCTTCCGGACGAAGAGAACAGGAGCACCGTATGGAGATGAGCTAGGCCGAATCCAGCGTTTCTCTAGAAGGTCATCGAGTTGTGCCCGAAGCACACTTAACTCTTCCTCGCTCATTCGGTAGATGCAACCGCGCGGAGGTACGGCCCCGTCCTCGAGGATGATCTCGTGGCGGATGGGTCGATCCGGTACTACTCTGTGCGGGCCTTCGAACACGTCCCTGTAGGCGTCGAGAAGTTCGGTGATGCGTGGATCCGAAGGTGAGTCCGTC